TATAGCATCAACTTCAATGGCACCAAAACCCTAGCCACTATAGAAAACCCCAGCCACAGAATTATCAGAGAAGCCATAGAGATTGAAAAAAGACCTGAAAGCATGAACAGAAGAGATGATTCCACCAGACTGTCAATCATTTGGAAGCCTGCACTCACAAACAAAAAAATCTCCACACCACTAGCCAGGCAAACACCTGGGCACAAACAGACCCCCCCTGATACCTCCAGCTCAAATACACCCCAACCAGGCACCCAGATGAAACCTAGCTTCCTAATAAATGATAGCCGCCCGTTTACTCGGAGCCAAGCCGCACTAAAAGCCTCCAATACAGGAAACACAATGTTGCCAGCCAATCAAGACAAAAAAAGCCACAAAACAGACAGAAGATATTAGAAACACCCGTCAAGCAGAACACAGCAAACTCCAAGACCAATAAACACAGACCAAGACTCCCAACCAATCAGGATGAAGAAAAAACCATTCTGGCACAGCAGTAGGCTAGCCCCAAATTTAAAACTGAAACAACTGTAAAAGTCTGACTCACAGACAAACACAATACAGAAGCCTGTTGATGGCAGATGAGATTCTGCCGAAACGTTGCTACAACTTTAAAAGCACAACTATCATGACTTGGGAAAATACCCAAACAAAGCTGAATACCATACATGTAAGTACCTGCGAAAAGTTAAGAAAACATATATAAACACAGTATATATATAAAATTTATTTATTGTAATTGTCCTCTCTAATAGATTCTAGTTGGCTTACAAAATATACAAACAATAAAAGTCTGGCAGCACAGACTAAAATAATAATAAAAATAGCAAACCATATCAGGACCTCATAAACACATTGGGTATCAGAGCCAGGTCTTAAGGGCTTTCAGAACTGTGGGAGAGAAGGCATTGTCCCTCTCTCTGGGGAGACCCTCTTCTAAAAGGTAGGGAATGCGACAAAATGTATGCTTCTTTTGTCCTAACAATATATAATACTGTATATGCAACTTGGAGAATATCAACTCTGCTTAAACATCCAGGGCAGGAAGTAACAATTCAAATTGTTAAGGACTGTACAGTAGAACCTGTGGTCCCGAAAGCTTCTGACCACGACCAAATCGACCAAAAATTTTGCAAAACTTTTTCATCTAGTTGCGAACAAATACTTGGGTGGTAATCAAACACAGCCATGGCGATTTCCCCTTATGTGCCTTTTTTTTTTTGTACGTGCATGTGCTGTCAGTCTCGCTTCTGGTCAGGACAAAATTGGGTTGTGACCAAAGTCATAGAACAGATTAAGGTCATGACCAGAGGTTCTACTGTGTGGATTTTTATTTCTATATCCTTGTGTATCAGAACATTATTAAGAAAAAAATCAATATATGTAAACAGGTAATGGCTAAATTTATTATAACAGAAATATTTGCTATCTAGGTGAATTTTGCTGTGTGCAAACTAATTCTCTTCTTCTAAATTAGCAATTATTTAACAAGTGTTAACAAGTGTTGATTGTTTGCATTTATTCTAGGTGGTGTTTTGATGAAACTGTAACACATTTAATCTACCAGGGAAGGCAGTATGATAACAACCGGGAATACAAATCTGCTAAAGAAAGAGGCATATACATTGTTTCAGAGCATTGGCTCTTGGAGGTAGGGATATCCTTTCTTTCTGATGCTAAAGAAAATGTTTATTTTATTTATTATTATTAAAATTTATGCTAGCCTTCTCACTGATACAGCAATTCTGGGCAGCTTAAAATAAAAAGGTAAAAACAGATAATACAAAGCATTTAAAATTAAGGATTAAACCAAGAGAATGGGCAACATGGGGATCTTCTCTCAGAGGCTCTTCTGGACCCTTTGGCAGACAACATCTGCAATTGGCCTCTTTTCCTAGCATGAGTGGGATAGCTAGTCCCATTGAGGTGGGACAGCTCTTCAGATATCCTGAACCCATACCATAAAGAGCTTTAAAGGTAATGGTCCAATTGAACACCTTCAATTTTCCTTTAAAGGTCCAATTGAACACCTAGGAGGCAAATTGGCAACTAGTGCAGGTCACATAACAGCAGTATTACATTAGCCACCTGACAGGCCTCAAGAATTTCTGTGCCACTGCATTCTGTAACAGTTAAAGATTCTCAATACTCTTCAAGGATGACCAGGGTGTGGGTGACTGCATGCAGACCCTCACGATCTGGGGTGGGTTTCTACCAGTTCTGTCCACCTCTGTAGAACCGGTAGCTCTGAAGAGCAGCAGACATAGAACCGGTTCTATGTCTGCGGATGTTTTTGCCCACCCGCCCACCCAGGCTCTTACCTGATCTTTATTTCCTGATTTTTCAACTTCAGCTGCAGAACGAGGCACAGCTGCATTTAAAAAGGCAGGAAAAGAAGGCTGTTTCAAAGGCTGCTTCTCTGCATGCAGCGTGCTGATGACGATTTACAGGCGACGATTTACAGGTGCCCGCTCGCAGCATGCAGGGAAGCACATCATAAATCACTGAACCTCGTAAATCCCGAACCGGTAGTTAACCCTGTCATATCCCACCCCTGCTCACGATCCAGAAATTGGCTCAACTGGCACATAGTTATGCAAAGACTCTCAGCCACGACTGCCAACTACACTTCCAACAGATGTTGTGAATCTAAGAGAACCCTCTCCCCCCGTGCAACCCCATCCAGAACTAAAAATGATAAACTCCCAAATCCCAAAACCTTTTGAACCCACAGCTATATAGATACCCATAGCCTCTAGGCACGTGATGGCAAACCTATGGCAAGCGTGTGGCCACAGGTGGAACCCAGAGCCCTCTGCAATCATGCCAGCTGTCACCCCAGCACAGCTCCACCGTGCATGCGCACATGCCTCCCGCTGGCCAGCTGGTCTTAGGGTCTCTGCTTTGTATGTGCGGGGGCAGGGCCTTCCCTGATCTCCGAAGTTCCTCCATCCCAGCGTGCCCTACCTTTCTTCCCCCAGCGCGCCCTAGCTTTCTCCTGGATTCCTGCCTCCGGTGCCTTCCCCGATTTCCACAGGTGCCTCTCCATGGCAGGAATGCAGGAGAAAGGGCATGCTGGGGGGGAACCTGTGGAGATTGGGGAACGAATGGGTGGCAGAAATGCAGGAGAAAGCTAGGGCGTGCTGAGGGGGGAAACTGGAGATTGGGGAAGGCATGGGAGGCAGAAATGCAGGAGAAAGCTAGGGCATGCTGGGGGGAGAAATTGTGGAGATCATGAGGTCCCCAGTGCCCCGTTTTGGGCCTGAAAAGCCTCCTACATCAACCTGGAAGCCAAAGTTGGGGCTGGGGCACATGCACAGGGAATGTGCGTGCATGCGCAGTATGGGGCGCATGTGCAGGGGGCTCTCGCATTGCATTTTGGGGATTGGGGCATGCATGCATGCATTTACTTTGGGCACTTGGCACCAAAAAGGTTAACAAGCACTGCTCTAGGCACTGCAAGAGAGCAGCTGTAGCATAATTTGGATCACCATGGATGGAGATGTAAAGTTGAGTTAAATTAGCATATTAATGATACCTCATCCCATGGTATTGGATGACCTCATTCAGTGGTTTCATATAGAGATATAGGATAGAGAAATTAAAATTTATTTGACATTGTGATTCTTTAATTAGCTATAACTTGTTCTTGCTTAAGGAAAAAGATCTAGACTTTCACACAGCCCCGTTATTTTTTATTTTTGTGCTTCATGTATTGAATGCATATTGGGGAACTAAAAACACAAGAATAATTTACATGCAACTGAGGAATTAATATCAAAATATATTTTACTTCAGATGTTCCATGTGAGTTAACCTGACTATATAAAGATAGATATCCTGCTGTCTCTGGGTTTAGTTCAGGCTGAGGTATGTTCGAGTATCTTGTATAAAGGGTCTTTGACTATAAGATGTCCAGTATTTCGCATGTTCAATCCAGGATACATCTAAACTGTTGGATAACTTATTCTGGTTATGTATTCCCAAACTCCATTCAGAAGATAGTTCTTTATGTGTCTGTTGCGTTGTTTCTAATAGGAAACACTAATGGTAATAACCAGAGCTGTTTTGTGTGTGTGTGCGTCCGCGCAGTTTCTTCTGGAATTCATAACATGCCTTTCTGTAATTTTGTTCTTTGTTGTTTGTAATACCAGTTTCTATATCATTAGACTACAGAATAATTCAATTCAGATAAAATCCTATATTTGTTCCCAAGAGACATTTTTTTCCTTTTGATGCCTTCATCCTAGAAGAGGAGTTAATTATCCTATCATCTATAATCTGACAATCAACTATTGTATGTCAGAATAATTCCTAAATTCTGTAGATGTTGTTGTTATTCAGTATAATTACTATTTATAGCAGTGGTTCTCAATCTTCCTAATGCCGCGACCGTTTAATACAGTGGTGACTCCCAACCATAAAATTATGGCTCAGTTCCTAAGACCATCAAAAAATATGTGTTTTCCGATGGTCTTAGGCGACCCCTGTGAAAGGGTCGTTCAACCCCCAAAGGGGTCGCAACCCACAGATTGAGAACCACTGATTTATAGTAAATGTTTTAGGGATTTCCAAATAAATACTTTTCAGCACAACTTATGCTTTGTTGCTGATTTCCTAATATATCTAGACTAGAATGATCTGGAAGGCACCTTGGAGGTCATCTAGTCCAGCCCCCTGTTCAATCAAGAGAACCTATACCATGTCAGATAAGTGACTGTAGACTCTTCCTAAAAACATCCAGTGAGAGAGTGCTCACGATTTCTGGAGGCAAGCTGTTTGTCAGGTTCCAAGTAATGCAATCATCATAAAATGAACCCAGAGGCATTCTAATTCCTAAAAGAACTATTTTACTCTAATTACACATCTTAGCACAAACTGATGGAAGACAGTACTGAAGATTTCCCGGGTTTCCACATCACTATAATTAGAAGGTTCTCATTTTTCCAAAACAATAAGTCACATTGTCCAACCAGGATATAAAATAGTTTCCTGGCAACTTTCTCTGGCCAAGCAGCAGTTGGAATGCAGCTGACTCATCACCCAGCTATGTTGTTTTGACTGGAGCTTCATCCACCTCAGTTCTCTCCCCCTCCATTTCTCAAGTGTGTCAAACTGAATTCATACGATTCCACTACCAAACTAAATTCAGGTTTGACACTGTTTCACTCGTTAATTGTCCTCACTGCTAGGAAGTTTCTCCTTAATTCCAGGTTGCTTCTCTCTTTGATAGTTTCTAACCATTGTTTCTTGTCCTGCCCTTTAGTGCTCTGGAGAATAATTTTACCCCTTCTTTGTGGCACCCCTCAAATACTGGAATACTGCTATCATGTCACCCCCAATACTTATTTTCTTTAGACTAAACAAACCCAAATCCTGCAGCTATTCTTCATATTTTTAGTCTCCAGGGCTTTGATCATCTTAGTTGGCTCTTCTCAGAACTTTTTGCAAAGTCTCAACATCTTTTTTGTAGTGTGGTAACCAAAATTGGTTGCAGTATTTCAGGTATGGCCTTACTAGAGTTTTATAAATACTAATACTTCATACCGATGCACTGTCTGTAAATATATGAAGAAGAATAATGATGTTTTTATGTCATGTCTTATGTTGTTTGTGTTTTTGTTTGTTGTTAAAATCAATAAAAAAAACCTAAAAAAATAAATAAAAAAAATAAAAAAATAAAAATAAAAATAAATACTAATACTTCATGTGATCTTGATTCTATGCTTCTTTTTATATATTTAGTCTCCCACTTGCTGCAGAGTTAGTCTCCCAGTTGATATTTGGATAGTTAAAGTCTCCCATTACTACTGTGGTATGCTTCCTACATATATTTGTTAACTGGTTGGCAAGGGGTTCATCCATTTCTTCTGATTGGTTGGGTGGCCTATAATATACACCTATGACAATGTCACTTTTTCTTTTATATTCACCCATATACATTCTGGAGGGATTTTATCTTTGATCATGTGCATTTCTGTAGATATGTAGTGACTTCTTACATGTAGTGCAACTCCACCTCCTTTTTTTGTTGATCTTTCTTTTGAACAATTTACATCCACCCATCAGTACATTCCAGTCATGGGTTTGGTCCCACCAGGTTTCTGTAATGGCAAGTATGTCATACCTGCCCTCGTCTACTATTGCTTCTAGTTTACCCTGTTTGTTCCCCAAGCTTTGAGCATTTGTATACAAGCATTTAAGACTGTTATGCCTGTCCAAGGGTATGTTTCCTGCATTTCCTAGTTGTTATTTGAAATTTTTTCATCATTCCTTACCTCATTGTTTGATTTGTTTTCCTTGGATTTATGATTGGTTTTGTGTTCTAGAGATTCTAAAGATTGGGTCACCCTCCCTCTTCAATTTTAGTTTAAAGCCCTTTTGATGAGTTCGAGCAATCTTCTTCTGAATACATTTTTCTCTGTTTTGTGAGATGCAGCCCATCCCTTGCCAAGAGTCCTTCATGAAGATAATGCATCCATGGTCCAGGAAACCAAAGTTTTCTTGGTGACACCAACCCTTTAGCCAGTGGTTTATTTCTATAATTCTTTTCCCCCTCAATGGGTGTTACCCTTTCGTTGGGAGTACTGATGAGAACACCACTTGTGCTCCTAGCTCCTTAACTTTGTTGCCTAATTGCTTATAATCTCTCAATATTACACTAAGGTTCTTTGTTGTGTCATTCGCTCCATTGTGAAGGAGGAGGAAAGTGTAATAATCTGTTGGCCTAATTATTTTGGTTAAGTTCTCAGCCACATCTTTGATTTTTGCTCCAGGGAGACAACATACTTCCTTACATAAAATATCTGATCTGCCAATGGCTGGTTCTGTTCCTTTTAGAATAGAATCTCCTATCACCAACACTCGCCTTCCTTTTGGGGGGGAGGGGCAAAGGTGATATTCAGCAGGTTCTGATCAGTTCTGGAGAACCGGTAGCGGAAATTTTGAGTAGTTCGGAGAACCAGCAAATATCACCTCTGACTGGAGATTTTATAGTATCCTTCCCCTGCCATTTTCCTTCAAAAGAAAGAATATTTTCTCTTTTCCATTGTTCTTTGTTTTAAAGACTCATACAGTACGACTTCTTCCTATGTGTGCCTATGTTTATGTCTCTTTTAAAGTAAGGGCCATGATTTGTCCATCCCCATTCTAATAGTAGTAGTGGTGGTGGTGGTGGTGGTGGAGATGATGATGTCATGCAATTAATATTTTTTTACTTTTGCTTCTTTCCCTTCCGCTAAAAGATAAGTCTGGAAAGATGGAATCAGAAGTGAAATAAATTATTTCTTCTTGCATTTCATCACTTTGGGACTACCTCTTACTTTTCTAATCTCATGCATCTGATGAAGTGAGCTTTGATTAATAATTATGTAGGTCAGGGGCCCACTGGTCCGAAGATTGGCATCAGTACACAGCATGCCAAAAACTGGGCTGCACATATAAGCAAAGTCCCATCAGCGGGATGCAGGCAGGACACAAAACCACTCTCCCTCTGGTCCGCAAAAAACCTTCTCTCCATGGAACCGGTCTTTGGTTCCCAAAAGGTTGGAGGCTGTGATCTAGGACACTAAGTAATTCATCTTTACTGGAACTTTCTGTGGGTAAACAAAGTAATCTTTTGTTTATTATCTATTAGGCAGGAAAAAAGAAAATATTTATTAACATTAATATTTATGCATTTATTGTTCAAAAGTGGTGGCATTAATCTCTTTTTATCTGACCTTTTTTTAATTCCCAGAGTGCACAAGAATACAAGCGACTAGCTGAATCTCTTTATCCTCATACATATAATCCTAAAATGAGTTTGAATATTAGTGGTGTGGAAGTTGACAGGTTCTCACGAAGGCTTGATGTTGCTGGAAAAGAAGGGAAAGGAGACAAAGTATATTTTTGTTCACTCTATTCTTCCATTCAGTTTGATAATATTAATCTGTATATATAAATAACTAATGATTTTTTTGATTTGCTTTCATTCATATTAGTTCTAAAATAATAGCAAACTTTAAGAACATTGCTTGCTATAGTATAATAGAAATAATCAGAATATCATTATTATAATGTATAACCTTAATTTTTAAAATGTTTAAAATTTTATACTCCAATCTAGCAATGCTTTGCATATAGAACATTTTGGGTTCATCCTAAGTAGGGTTGAACGAATAAAATGTTTCTAAATCCTGAACCTGGTAATGATATATTACTATTATAACAGATCTGTTTTAAGTTAGAAGCTATATGTACATACATACATCCTCACATTGCTGAAGTTTTCTAAAAAAAAATCAAACTATTCTATTCCAATGTTTCTGATGCCTATAGTGTTTTATTTGAGGTTTTACCCATAACTTTTTGTATGTAATTTTTTATACTGATTTGTTTTGTTATTCAATTATTTCAGAATAATTCAGTGAATGATAATGATACAAAAAAAGTTATTATTGATCAAATAAATGAGGTTGAACAAAAGGAGCATGAACCAAAAGGAGGTAACTTTTTATGTATTTGGCCCCAATTACTAGGTATTAGAATTTTTCATAGAGTTATAAAAGTTTTTAAAATGTGGAATGGGAAAAGTGTGACATAAAAAAGGTTCTGTTATATATTTTTTAATAGAAGGCCACAGGTGTGTTTTGATTGTAATAGTTTCTTTATTGATTCTTTTTTTGTACCTAAGTTTTAACACAGACATTGGAAATGAGGGAAAACTTTCAGAAGCAGCTCCAAGAAATTATGACTGCCACATCATTAGCAAAGTTGCAAGGACAAAGGAACTCTCGGAATGGTTTTGAGAATTCTCCAACAACTCCAGATGGACCCCGTTCTGCTCGTAATGGCCGCAGTAGAATTTTAGAAGCTTTAAGGTACCTACTATATTGGAGATGGGGGATTGAATGGTTCTCAGGGAAGGCAGAGGAGGGCATCCTATTTCAGTGGTGTCGGGTAACAGGAGATATGGGAAACAAGGGAGAGGGCAGGCACGGGTAACGCAACCTTGGTGTTTAGTACCGATCTCGTGTTCTGCCCCATTGCACTCAGCTCATTTTCCTGGTCAGCAGATTTGTGGTGGTCCTGGTCTTAGACTGCTGCTTTTAAATGTGAGATCAGCTTGCAATAAGGCTAGCCTTATTGCTGATTTGATCCTCAAAGAGAAGACTGATCTGCTTGAGACCTGGCTGGGCCCAGAGGGAGCATCCCTCTTGTAGAAATGTGCCCAGTGGGTTATCGAGCATGGCACCAGTCTAGACCTCAGGGCCGGGGAGCAGCTGTGGCTGTTGTTATCAGAGAATCTCTAGTAGCCTCCAGAAGCACTGTTCAGCAAGTCCCCAGCTGTGAGACCCTTTTTCTTAGATTGGGCTCAAGGGATCAGGTGGGATTGCTGCTGCTGTACCAGCCTCCCTGCTTCGTGGCAGCTTCTCTACCTGGGCTCCTGGACCTCGCTGCAAGGCTGGTGGTGGAATTCCCCAGGCTTATAGTTCTGGGGGATTTCAACCTGCCTTCTCTGGGGTCGGAGTAGCCCGAGATTTCATAGAAACCATGACTTCCATGGGTCTGTCCCAGATTACCCAGAGCCTGACTAGTAATAGTGGTCACACTCCTGATTTGGTGTTCTTGTCGGAGCAGTGTCTATTTGACCTGGAATTGATAGACCTGTCCTTAGTCTCCTTGTCATGGTCAGATCACAGTCTGGTGGCAATGAGTTTCTCAAAAATTGCATTCCCCCACAGGGAGGCAGTACCTAATAGATTGGTCCTCCCCCATTGAGTAATGGACCCAGATAGTTCCAGAAGGAGCTAGGGTTATAACTGCAGATCTGTTATGCAGTCCAGCCGAGCTCTTAGTCACGACTTGGAATAGAACTGAGGCTCTGGATAGGATTGCACCCTTGTGACCTCTCCTCACCTGTAGACCTCTCTGTGCCCCGTGGTATACAGAAGAACTGAGAGGGATGAAACTCATGAGGAGACATCTAAAGCACCGCTGGCGGAAGATAGGAGATGAACTCGATCGAACATGGGTAGTAAAGCCTACCTTGCTAGTAAAGCGAACATGCTAGTAAAGCCTACCTTGTGATGATTTGTGAGGCGAAGTGTAAATACTTCTCCACACTAATTGCGTCTGCAGATGATCGCCCAGCGGCCCTCTTTAAGGTGAGCCATCTCCTCCTAGGGAAGGAGAACACTGAGGTCCACCTGAAGGGGCGCGCTGAGGAATTTGTGGATTTTTTGGAAGACAAAA